CTTAGCCGGGCATAGATTCCCGCTTCTTCCCCGGTGGGGACTCCGACTCCCATCGGCCGCGGCCTGCCTGCTGGAAGGGATCACGGGAGAGGGGTCCCCATCTCTGCCCTGGGCCAGGAACCCCCCCCCCCTCCTTCGACCGAGCCGGTTTTGGCAGCGCTCCGCCGAGGGGCGGTGGGTTGCACGAGCGGAAGGGGGCGCGACCCCCTCCCCGATTGGCTTCCGTCCCTAGTGGGGGGAGGATGATGGGAGCTGAGGTCCAGAAGGCGGAGGCTGGCCAGGGCAGCCAATGAGGAGCAACTGGGGGGAAGGAATAGGGGTCTCCCCTCTGCAAAGGAAGACTGCTCTTGAACCGGGAGGCTCTCCATAAAAGACAGTCCTAGCAGTCGGTGGAGGAGGAGATTTGGAGGGGGGGTGAGCGGCCCCTGGGGAGGGCCCCAAATCTCCAGCCCCAGATTTTGTGGCCTTGTGCAGGGGGAGAGTCTGGAAGGGGGACTGACCCCCACCCCCACCCCCAAAAGAGGCTGCTTCGGAGAACCACGGAGCTGCAGGTTAATAGATGCCCACCGACTTTTGCCACCTGGCCACTGGCATTTGGGGGTAGACACTGACTGACCCTGGAGGATTCATCCTGCCTTCCTAAGCCCAGGAGCTGTCCACAGCTCCCTCCAGCTCTGCAAAACCAGGGGAGAATCTTGAACCCTCTTTTTCGAGGTCTCCAACTACAATACCCAGAGTTCCCAGCAGCAGGGAATGAGGAGGGCTGTTGTCTCAAAGTCCCTGGAGGGTGTCAGAGAGGTGTCACTCTTCTGCGTTTTTCTGTTGCCTTTCCTGCATGACATGTCTTGTGGCAAGGAGTTCCGCTGATGAATATGCAACGGATGGGGATCCCTTTCCTGCCCTGTGGCTGAACGGTGCATCCTCATTTGTTCTTTACCAGAGAGCCCCCCTCACCATGCCACCTCCTGAAACCCATATGCGTGTGTGTAGGTTTGGTGGCTAACCGGAAACCGAGAATTTGCCCTAGCTTGTGTGTTGTGTATTTGTTTCAAAATGAGGCACAGGCCAACCGACTGGAAAGCCCCTCTTTCGAAGTTCGTGTGTGTGTGTGTGTGTGTGTGTGTGTGTGTGTGTGTGTTCGGCCAGCTACTCACTCTTAGCCTCACCATCCCCAACTGCATCCAAGCCCCCCTTGATTGTCAGGGCCCTCCGGAGGGGTTGGGACTACATATCCCAGGCTTCTTATCCAGTTGGGGGATTGTGGGATTCATAGGCTGCTGTCGTCACGAAATATTAGACCGGGGTGTCCAATCTTGGCAACTTTAGAAGTTGTGGACTTCGGCTCCCAGAATTCCCCAGTCAGTCATGCCTGTTTATTTTTTCTCCCACTCCCTGGAGCGGAGAGATTGCAGAGGAAGGGAGCACAAAAGAGTAAGCAGGCATGCAATGGGGATACAGACCAAAAGGTACGTGTTATCGCCAGGGAATCCTGGGAGCTGAAGTGCACAAGTCTTAAAGCTGACACAATTGGACACCTCTGTGCTAGAAAGATTGGCTTCGAACCAAACATCAGAAAACAAGGAAACCGCAAGTAAAAAAATAAAAACAAACAAATAGCAAACCCAAAATTTACATGAGAGAAATAGACACAAAGACTCAGCTTGCAGTGGCACGTGGGATTAAATGAAGCAGAGTTAAGATTTAGAACTGGGGGGGGGGAAAGAATTTTTAATTTTTTCCAAATGCTTCCCCCCTCCCCCCTTTATGGAAAACTCATTACTGTGCGCCGAGGGACCACAACGAAGAACGCCGTGGCGCCTAGAAGACCGGTGCGCGGACGTCCCAGAACCCACTTTGGGGACTGCGGGAAAAACAGGGCTGCGAATTAGCAAGGCCTTTATAAATATTTGGGTCTCTTGGGGGGGGGGGCTCTTTGCCACTGGAGTTGCAAATGCAAAGGGGTCCTCTAGTCCAACCCCCTGCCCAAGCCAGAGATCCTAGACCATTTCAATCAATCAATCAATCAATCAGAATAGAGCTGGATTACTTTTAATTTTCCTTACGCAATCTAACGCTAACATCATTGTGACTGGAGATCTTATGCTCAGCCCGACCTCTTTGTGGCCGAAGAGGAAGGGTATGGGGTATAAATATGTATATATAATATATATATATATATATAAATACATATATATTTATGTTCAGCATCTCCTCCATGTTCTCATGATGTAAACAAAGGCAGAGACACGGCATCTGGCTTGGATCAGGGAACTGCGATCAATTTCCCTGATGTTTAATCATCATTAAATTGCAGTAGCAGCTGGCCGAGGGGGCTGTCTGGGGAAGGGGCTGGCCATCCAAGATTAAACGTGTTTTTTGCAAAATTTACAGCCAGGGGCCCAAATCAGAAGTTGCAGCGTCCCAGGCTCACGTGATGGCCACTGGCGACCTTAACGTCTCTCTTAACAACCGTGGACAAAAATGTCGTCAAATCGGGCGCAGGGATGACCCATTTAACAGCTGCCTCGCTTAGGGACGGGATTTAGGACTAGCCATAGCTCAGCCGGCAGGTACAACTTCCTCTTGTTTGTACCTGGCCTTTTTCGTTTTAAAGACAAGGGGGCTTCCACACGTGTGTGTGTGTGTGTGTGTGTGTGTATGTGTGTGTGTGTGTGTGAGAGAGAGAGAGAGAGAGAGGGGGGGTCCTATGCCTCTCCACCCCGCCAGCCTCAATTCTCCGATGAGGTGAGAATCCGGGGTGCCCCGTTTTTGGAGGAGACAGCCTTTTGCAGAGAAGTCTTAGGATGGGATGATGGAGGTGGGATGAAAAGCTCTCCTGAACCCACATCCGTTTATGTCTGGGGTGTGTTTCCCCCCCCCTTTTATCTTCCCTGAAATGGCTAATTGGTATGCTAATGAACCCGCTGGAAACCAGCGACTCCCCACGACAATCAATACGGGAAGATTTGGCGGTGCAGGCCGAGTGGCCAGTTAATGGAAGCCTTTCCAGGCGACGACGCCAGCCATAAAAATGAAACAATTAGGGGAGATAAATGGGCTGTGGTGGGGCGGGGGGGTTTAATGTTTCCTTATTCCAGCGATCTGATTTAATGCAGCCCCCCCCTCGCTTTTACCCAGGTGGGCTTCCTCTCCGCGTGTCTGGCTGTGAGGGGGGAGCTGAGGGGGGGATGAAACCCGTCTCGGGGTTGCCAGACCCGCCCCCAAAACTTTGAGGAATCTGCAGGCTCTCCAGAGGCCTCGCTAGGTGGGTATTTATTTCTGCAAAACAGGGTGGGGGGTGCCATGGCTGGGAATTGGTCTGAAATGGTCTCCAAGGTCCCTTCCAACTCTGTTGTTCTGTCGTTCTGTCATTCTGCTATTCTGCTATTCTCTCATTCTGTTGTTCTGCTGTTCTTTTACTCTGCTATTCTGTTATTCTGTCGTTCTGTTAATCTGTTACTCTGCCATCCTATTGTTCTGCTGTTCAGTTATTTTGTCATTCTGATAGTCTGTCGTTCTGTTATTCTGCTATTCCCTTATTCTGTCGTTCTGCTATTCTGCTATTGTTATTATGTCTTTCTGTTATTGTGCTATTTTTTTCTATTGTTCTGTTATTCTTCTATTCTGCTATTATAACATTCTGTCATTCTGCTATTCTGTCGTTAGGTCATTCTGCTATTCTGTCATTCTGCTGTTCTCTTATTCTGTCATTCTGTTTTTCTGCTATTCTCTTATTCTGTCATTCTATCATTCTTTTGTACTGTTGTTCTGCTCTTCCGTTATTCTGTTATTATTATATTCTGTTGTTATTCTATTAATTGATCTCCGAAGGTGCCCATTTTTACTGTGGGGAGGGCTTTTAAAGGGGGCGCCCTGTCTGCCAAGGAGTTTTGGCGGGGGGGGGGGTCCTGCTGCCCCCTTTGCCGCATCCCCCATCCATGCCCCCCTGGCGTGAATTCCCTGGCATGAAAATCCCCGTCTTGGTCTCTCGCAATAATGCTGGTGATGCCGCTTGGCTGACCGGCATGATTAAAAAAGGGGGGTGGGGGGAGAGAAGACCCCTCCAAAACTTATTTGCATGAAATACAGCAGGCAAAAAGGGGCCGGCCCTGATTGGCTGTTGCTAGGAAATGCCATAATCATCAGGAAATTAGTTCCCACCCGTCGCCCGTCTTTCTTCCCGGTATCTAATGCCGGCTGGGACTGAGCGGAACAAAGGCTTGGGGGGTGGGGGGGATGAGCCCCTGAGACAGACCCCCTCCCAAAAACTGGCTGTGCAGAGCCTCTGCAGCATCGGCCTCACAAGCATCCCTGAGGGGGGGGCGTCCCTGTGTGGCTGCTGGAATCTGCCTGGAGGGACGGGGTTCAATGGGGGGTGCAGGATGCCCTGGAGCCCCCTGTGGGGAGTGCAAGATTGAAGGACGCTGCCAGGGGGGATGAACGGGGCTCTTGCCCCCCCCCTCAGCTACACCCGCCTTCTGCAAATGCCAAAATTCCTGAAAATGGCGGGGTCCTGAAGGTAAGGGGCAAACAAGTGCTGGGGGGTTGGGGAGACCCCCTACCCTCTTTTCCATAATTGCCCTTATAGCAATGGGGATGGGGGTCTGTGTTATACTCTGGCGTTTTCTGGATGGAGTGGAGTTGCTTTTTGGTTTATCTAAAATTATTGATCTAATTGGACTGGGCAAGTTTCTAGTCCTCAAGGTTTCTGTGGAAGCAACAGCCTCGCCATTGTGGAGATTGTCAGGTTGCGATTTTCCAAATCAAGGCACTTTTGCGTATATGTGTGTGTTCTTTGTGGACTGAGCATCGCCTAGCTGGGAAGGATTTAAACCTGCAAATGCTGTGGGTTTTCAGTGGGGCTTCCTTTCCAGGCAGCATCCACAAGATGGCTGTTGTATGTCAGGCAGGGCGAGATTCGAACTCGGGAGCGAAGCCTTTTTTCCTTTCCTGCAGGATCTGCTTGGCCGTCATTCCTCGGGGACCCTGCACGGTCCATCATGGAGAATGAGCAGATCCAGAGTCCGCCACCGCTCAGCAACCCGGGGGCCACGAACACCAGCACCACCACCACGGCCCCCAGCAACAGCAACACCGGTGGGCGCCAGACGGGCCCCCCCATCTCCGTATACAGCGGGATCCCCGACCGCCAGACCGTCCAGGTGAGGGGAGAGCCGCCAGGCTTGTGACTGGGGCCCCCAGGTTTCTGGAATGAAACCAATTGCCTTCACAACGGGTTAGACTAGATGACCTTTGAGGTCCAACTTGGCAACTTCCTAAAATGAAGTTCTTGCATACTCCTCAGCCTTCTGACATGATAGGGGGGGATTCTCTCTACCAGGTCCTTCCTTTGAGCCCCCCCCATGGAAAAAGGGGGTGGTGGAGGGCATTTCGCGTCGCCCTCTCCCCCAACTAACCTAGATTTGGTTTTTTTGGAGCGATCAGTGGGGCAGAGAAGAAGGAAAGGGCCGAAAGTGGGTGGTTTCGCTGGGAAGCATTTCCTGACCTTGGAGGCATTTGAATCAAAGTTAGATTGTGACTCTCTGGTGGGGCTAGACTAGAGGATCTCTACGGTCCCTTCCAGGGTGCTGTGAGACCAAGTCTGATCTGGAGTTGCTTGGTAAATATCGCCCTCTAGTGGCCCTCTGTGGCCTGGTGTGCATCCATCTGACAAACACGGGGGCTAATGAACCATGCAGAAGTAATTAAATAACGTTAATTAATTAAGAAGCGGCCCAGATGACCTTATGGCCTTCACGCCGACCTTGGAGGGGAGTCTGCCTCTCTGCTCGGCACCAGTTCCCATTCCGAACAGGATTCCCACTTAGAAAGAGCCTGACAGGCGTGGGTACAATCTCGGTTTCTCTCTGCAGCGTGGGAACGGCGTTGTCGGGTTGTGATGTTTGTGAACCTCTTTTTGGGGATGCTTTTCATCCTGGGGGAAGGGGGTTCAGCTGGTCCCTCAGGGTGATCCCCAGAGTTTGCAAATGCTGTGCAGGGATTTTCCATCCAGGTTTCGGTTTAATTTGTGTTCGTGTTTGGTCATACGTGTGAAGAACGTTGCGAAGTAACTTTGAATGGTCACTAAATGACAAACAGTTGTGAGTCAAGGACTGCCTGTCTGTTCTATCCTGTGGGTTTTTCCTTCCCCAAATCATTTAAGCCTTATTGGTTTCAGGGGGGAGGAGAATCAAATTTAAAACAGGAGGGTTTCCTAGCACTGAGGAGATCGGTATTGTGTCCCCTCAAAAAATCTGAGTGCCACTGTGGAAACAAAATACACAAACGTTGTTTAAGTAGCAACCGAGCATCAAGGATTCGGTTTTTTTGATCCCCTGGCGCATGTGAGCATGTCAGGGAGGTGATTGATGACCCCTTTTGATAGCCCCCCCAGGACCCCTTGCAAATCCCCTACAAGGTCAAAGCATTAAGACCCTCATTGAGGCTGGTTAACCTTTGATCTGACCCCCTCCTCTCCCTCCCCCCCCCACTTACGGAGAGGGGGGCGAGGAAGCCGTAAGATATTTAGGTAGCGACCCTTTCACTGAATCCGCTTTTCTCTTACGATTCCCGGGACTTTGACTTTTTTTGCAAGCCTATTCACAAAACGCACAAGATTTCCAAAGCGTTGTGCAGTTGAACACACTTCAACTTTCTCTTGAGTTTTTTTTTGTAAGCATCTTTGCAAAATGCAAAGTTTGGGGTGCTGGAGAAGGAGAAAGCTGCCACTGCTGGGGTGGTTTGCAAACCATGGTTTACAATTTAGTCCTAAGCAGGGCTTTTTTTCTCACAGAACGCCCAGAACGGAGTTCCGGCACCTTTTTTGGCATGGGACCTTGTAGGGTAGGCAAGGCGGGTTGTATGACGTGTGTGAGTTCCGGCACCTTTTTTTGTTTTTTTTTATACAAAAAAAGCACTGGTCCTAAGTCCCTTTTTCAGCGCCTTTGTGACTTCGAATGGGCTGTGAGTTGTAAGTCACCGTGGAAGAATTGCAACAGGTTTTAGGCCAGGCGTGCAAATGGCGTGTGGAACGGCGAAGAACATGTGTGTGTCACTTCCTTACTTTTTGGAATACCAGCGAGAATTTCGGAGCCTTGAACAAGCCCTTGCAGGCCCCTTTCCGTGCCGGGGGCAGGGACGTGTGTGTGTGTGTGTGTGTGTGTGTGTCCCACCGTCTCTTCCTGGGTTTCCTAACTTATTTTTTTCTCTTCCCGGCCAGGTGATCCAGCAGGCTCTGCACCGTCAACCCAACACAGCCGCACAATACCTGCAGCAGATGTACGCCGCCCAGCAGCAGCACCTGATGCTGCAGACGGCAGCGCTCCAGCAGCAGCACCTGGGGAGCAGCCAGCTGCAGAGCCTGGCCGCCATCCAACAGGTCTGTCGCTCCGGGGGGTGGGTGGGGGGGAGAGAGACCACCGAAAAAGGCAGGGACTAAATCTGTGGGGCAGGGGGAGGGAGCCCTCCAGGAAAGATTTGGAAAGAGGGGGGGGGAAGCTCATTTTGGGACAGGTAGTTCAACCCTGCAGGTAGTCCTCGACTTTTACGACCACAGTGGAACGCGAAATCTCCGTTGCTAAGTGGGCCATTTGAGTTGTGCCTCATTTAACGAGTTTGTTAAGCCAATCCCCTGCAGTGTTTCAGTTAGCAACGCGGACCTGTCAGAAGGTCGGCAAAGGGGGTCACGTGACAACCCCTCCTCCCCCGGGACGCTGCGACCGTCATAAATACGAGTCAGTGGCCAAGCGTCCGAATTTTGATTACTTTTATGACGACAGTCATAAGTAACTTTTTTCAATGCCATAACGTCGAATGGTCAGTAAATGAAACAGTTGTGAGTCCGGGACTAACTGTAATCGGCTCAGCCAAAATTGATTGAGTTTCATTTTCGTTATTTATTCATTAAATTTTAATAAGATTTAATAGACCCGCAGCAATGCTACTTTAACGCGGTCGTGGTTCTGCCCCCCCACCCCCCCTTTTGCAGGCAAGCATGGCAGCCAATCGGCAGGGCGTCTCCTCCGCTTCCAACGGGGCCACCCAGACCCCCCCTCAGCAGCCCACGGTAAGACAGAGTCTGCCTCAGTTTCCCTCCGGTAGGAGGGACCACCCCCCTTTCCTTAAGACG